AGAATGTGAAAGGAAGGAGAGGCCCAGATGAGCAGGCAACCTCCAGGGGCCAGACTACCCACTCCTACCCCTAGAGCTCCACTGTGGCTGATTCTAGCCCAATACCAGGTAGGCTGCCAGCACGCTACAGCCTCCAACTGCCAGCAGTTGAGGCCCCAGCACACAAAGTCGGTGACTAGGCCCCAGGCTTCCAACACAAGAAGCTTGGGTGGCTGCCCCCTGCCCCCAGCAGGAGAGCTCAATCTTTTTAAAGGCCAGGAAATAAGCAAACACCATGAGCAAAAATAAACGTACTACAGATTCTTATTATGGGAACAAGGAAGATCAAGGCAGAAATTCTGAAGAGGACAACATTGTCAACAAACCCACATCTGGAACCTCAAAAGGGAACATGAACTGGTCTGAAGCCCAAAAAGCCTTCTTAGAAGAGTTCAAGAAGAACTTTGTAAGTCAAATAAGAGAGGCAGAAGAAAAATTGGGAAAAGAAAAGAGAGATATGAAAGAGAAAGTCAATAGCTTGGAAAAGGAAGGACAAAAATTAACTGAAGAAAACAACTCCTTAAAAAGCAGAATTGGCCAAACAGAAAAGGAGACACAAAAACTCACTGAAGAGAAGAATTCCTTAAAAAATAAAATGGGCCAAATGGAAAGGGAGGTACAAAATCTAACAGAAGGAACTAAAAGTTGGGAGAGATACATATATCTAAGAGGAATCTATATAGAGATGATAACTGAATCCATGAGAGGTAATGAGATTCAAGTGAAAGAACAGAAAGAAAAAGAAAAGAAGATCCAGGACAAAGCCTTGGGGAAATACTCATAGGTCATGGGTATAACATGTCCAATACTTTTCTCAGTTTCATCCTTCTTGACCTCTCTGCAGTATATGACATTTGTGACCACTGTCTCTTCTTGTGGTTTACATGACTGTTTCCTCTTGGCTCTTTCTACCTATCTGACTGATCCTTCTCCATCTCCTCTGCTGCATCTTCATCCATGTCATGCCCAGTAACAGTGGGTATCCCTCAAGGCTCTGTGCTCTGAGCATGAATAAGGAGAAGATAGGGTGAAACCTGAGTTGAGCCCTACAAGACTGCAGAAATCAGAGGAGGCGGAGGTGAGGAAGAAGCCCACTGCCCGCATGCGGGACCACTGATCTGCTCAAAGGCCTGCTGAATTACAGAAACAGGCAATAGGCCAGTTTGGCCAAAAGGCAGTATATGAAACTAACGTAAAATAAGTTTGGAAAAGTAGCAGGGAACAAGAAAACGACAGGCTTTCAAAGTCAAGTTATGGTGTTTGTATCTTAGCCTAGAGGCTAAGGGAATGACTGTGACATAATCATCCATGTGGCTTAGGCATCTCTACTTTGGCAGCTGTGTGAAAAATGAATTAGAAAGGAGAGAGGCTGGAAGAGGGAGACCAAGAGGTCACTGCAACAGCTGAGGCAAAATGTGATGACAGCCTAAAAGAGGGTGATGAGGAGAGGGGAAATAGATGTGAAACACACTGAGGAGGAATAATCATCAAGATCTGGCAACTGACTGGAGATAGGGTAGTGCGGGAAAAGTCAAAGGGAACTCCAAAGTCAGGAACCTGGGTGATGGGAGGATGGTGGTGATCTCATCAGGAATACAGAGGACTGGGCAGAGTTGGGTATGGAGGTGGGTGGGAAAGATAATGAATTCTGTTTGGGACACGGTGAATGCGAGAATACCAAAAGTGATTTCTTGAAATCTGAAAATCCCTTTTGCGTAAGAATGGTCATTACTTATCAAGATTATAGGACTGTTTTAGTGCTATGTGGGGCTGTCTTCTGTTACTATTTTTCAAGACAGATTTAAATAACATTCAACTTAATTTCTGCTAAATCTCTTAAATAGTTTTCTTTGTACATGGAAAATATAGTCTTGATATAGCAGAAATTATTTTAAGTATTTTATAAATAACAGTTCATGACATACATAATAATTTTTCAATTTCTTCATACTTATCCAAGCAGGTTAGGTTAAGAATCCACTTTCACTGGCATCTGCCATGGCTGGAATGCCCTCCCTCCTCAACTCTACCTTTTGGCTTCCCTGCCTCTTTCAAGTCCCAACTAAAATCCCACCACAGGAAGCCTTTCCAATCTCTGTTAATTCTAGTGCCTTCTCTTTGCTGATTATTTTGTGTGTGTGTGTGTATGTGTGTGTATGTATAAACACATTTATATTTATATATATTGTATATATATATATTTATTTTATATTATATATATGTATATGTGTATATATCTATCTATCTATATCTATATCTATATATATATATATCTATATCTGTATATATATCTTATAATCTATTTGTATACATAGTTGCTTATTGCCTTCCCCATTAGATTGTGAGCTCCTGGAGGGTAAGGCTGTCTTTTGCCTTTCTCTGTATCCTTAGCACTTAGCACAATGCTTGGCACACAGCAGATGCTTAACAATGTTTACTATGGACTTTCTTTAGCTTTCCACTTCCTAATGTGGTCCAGATCCTAATTCAAAACTTATGACTGCCACAAAATCCTTCAGCCTTTCTAGATATGGCTCAGGTTGGTCCACATTCTTACTATCATTATTAAAGGAATGTATAGCTTGCCTTTTAGATTCTAATAATGCTGCTCCTGCAAACTCTGATCTTTATGACACCCACCCATCCACCCTTTGTGTGTATGTGGCGGGGGGGAGTTGGTTTTGGTTTTCTTGAAGCAACTAGATGGCTCAGCGAATAGAGTGCTGGGCTTGGAATCAAGAAGACCTGAATTCAAATCCAACCTTAGATACTTACTAGCTGTGTGACCCTGGGCAAATCACTGAACCTCCTTTTGCCTTGATGCACTACAGAAGGAAATGGCAAGCCATTCCAGTACCCTTGACAAGAAAAGAAAACCCTATGGACAGTATGATCTACAGAGTCATGAAGAGTTTAGACATGAATGAATGAATGAACAACTTTATGTGTTTTGACTTAAGTTCTTGTTAAGTAGTTTCTTTAGGTACTATAAATGTGTGGTAACGTATTTACATATATCCATTGTGCTGATGTTTCAACTCCTGACAGGCAGGCTACATCTGTGCCTGTTTCCTTGTATAACACCCAGCAGAACGCCATTTATATGTGTACACCTAGTAAATATTTTCTAACAATGCTTTGCATCCACTATTCTGACATGGCACAAATAAACACTCATCCAAGCATCTGTTCACAACTTTGCGGGATTAGAGCAGACACCAAAACTAGATCTTATACCTGACGTCTCCGAAGCACTGCCTTCTTCTCCGAAGTCAAGGCAGTCAATTATTCCTGTATCACAAAAAGGGAGTGATGATCACTGGGCACTTTGACTTACGGAGAGAAAAAGTTAAGAGTCTATGTGATCCCGCAAACATCCCTCATATCACAACACACAAAAACATAGTTCTAACTTTTCTAGATGTAAAGTAGCTCCAGAGGGTGAGATGACAGAGATCAATAAGTTAAAAGGGATTTAAATCGGATTTCTAGGTACAACCCAATGTGAAATTCTGCTCACCTTGCAAGTTAAACACATATAGATTTCAAAGAAATAGACCATCAAAAAATGAATTCCTAAAGTAAACTAGGGAAAACTCAGTAACTGGGACAACTGGAAGACTGTTTAGGGGTCAGCAATATCTCTTACAATGTTCCCATTTCTGAAAACAGAATCTGCCATTCACACCTATGAACTTAGAGACAGAAGGCAGTTTAATTTTCTTTATTAAAAATCTACTGACTTAAACTAATAAAAACCCCCAAGTGCTTTCATTCACTGCTGCATCTTAAGTAGTTCTAAAATGCCATTCTACTTACGCAGACGTCATTTAGAATAGAAGGATGTGACTTACAAATGTCTTTGCAGGCGTGCCATTTATAACAGTAGCCTCGATGAGAACACACAGTGTAACTGCTTATGAGTAACGCTTAAAGAGGCTTACATTAAAACAGAACGTAGAATGGTGGTTAGAAATCACAGAACAGGTCGTGATAGAGTTACTATGCCAAGATACAAACTGAACAGTAGCCAAAGGAAAATGGTCAGCACTAGGAACAAAACCAAGTACCACACTAGGAAGGAAAGGGAAGGGAAGAGAATAAGCACTTATTTAGCATCTACTGTATGCCAGGAACAGTACTAAGTGATTTTTACAAATATTACCTCTTTGGTCCTCACAACAACCCTGTGAGGTAGGTGTGATTATTATCCCCATTTTTCAGATGAGGAAATTGAGGCTAAAAGTGACTTGCCTAAGGTCACACAGTTGTTAAGTTTTTGAGGACAAATTTGAACTCAGGTCTTCCTGAATCCAGGTCTAGCAGAAATTTTTTTTTTTAAATCCACTGCATTACCTAACTACCTCTAGTGTGACTTAATTCCATGTAGAGGGCATAAAAGTGGTGGCTGGGGAGTAGATCACCCTAACATCACTGCAGGCCTCCATTGGATCCCTGGTTTCCTATCAGAAAACGTAGAGGTATGATTTCCTCCAAAAGCAACAGCATGAGAGCAAATCTTCACGTAATAGACTATAGGTGCCATGAGCACAGAGCCTACTTTCCATTTGATCTTTATGTGTTCACAATTAGCACAGCGACTCGCCCATGATGAGTGCTTAATAAATGCTATGTGAACTGAGAGCCTTGTGGGTAAACAAGTCATTCTGTCATATGCAGAAATCGACTTATTTAACAACAAAATCCTCTGCTCACCTTTAGGTCAAATATGAGGTAAGAATTTTGCACGGGCTTCAGTCTATCCTAGGTGAAAATAATACAATTCTTTCCTAGCATCATTTTAAGAATTCCAAGTTCTTAGGCTACCATTTTTCTTTCAGTGGAAGCCAAAAAGGCACATTGTGAGTGGCTCCTTCCACGTCCCACATCCAAATCTGACAGCAATCCCACCTCACAAGTCCTCCCTTTGGCATAAACAAAACGCACCAAGTCAGACTTACCTGCAGAAACACTGGGGCAGTTCTCCTTGGCCATACAAGGGAAACAAGAAGGGAGTGTTGCCGTACCGCCCGAGACACCGAAGAAAGTTCTGCGTTTCTCTGAGGCCGTCCAATGTGCCAGTGCATCCCTCTGATGTCATTGCAATGGAATGAAGGACAAAGTGCTGCAGGCTGGGCGTCAGTTTTTGAGTTTTCAAGTATTCGGAAAAGGGACATTCCTCATAAGCTGTTCAAATAAAAATACGATTAAATAAGGGTCAAGAAAACAGTTTGTCAGCTATGCCTTGTTTAGTGCAAACAACGAACCCTGTGAAGAAGGCACATGTGTTTAAATTCGTACTATTTGAAGTCATAATTCTGTAAAATATGGTCATTGGCTCCAGCTTAGAGGAAATACACAATACAAATTCCAATAATGCAATCACTTCAAAAGATTCATTACTCATACTAACCAGACCCTGGCTGTATATGCACAGTTAAGTTCCTAATTCCTTGTCCTTGAGAAGGAAGCTACCCAAAAACTCAAGTCCATGGTCAAGGCTCCTTTAGTCACCACGGGCAAAAGGTATGTAGACCTTCCTATTCTTCTGGTGAATCAGCAATGCACACGTGAAAAAAGTAAACCTAAAACACCTCTTACTAATTAAGAGAGTCTGGGAAATCAGCTGTCATTGTCTTTTAAAAATAGCCTTTTTCATGGCCTAAGTAATTAGTTGTCTTGTTGTTTTGAGTCCAGGTAAATAGCAAAGATTGGTCTGAATATGACTGGCACTAAGTTTCTATGATTGGCAAAGCAAATCGAATTTAACATCTTTCCACAAATCCTTTCTTCCTTCTTAAAAAGTCTGTCTCATTTTCATGAAAACTGTGAAGTGTCACCAATAGTTACATTTAAAAATATAAAACTTTCATAGGAAAAAAAAAATCTGAGTGAAAATGAGTCAACAGTCACCGAGACTTTAAAAAAAAAGGAAAACCCTATTTTGTGGTAAAGCTAATAAAGTATGTGGAATGAATCTTGTTGTTTGATAGTCACACAAACATTAGTAACTTCCTAAAGAACTTTTCATCTTTAAACCAAGAACATATGGTACACAGTAAATAGATTTTTCAAGGCAGGAAATCCCATCCCTTAACAAAATATAAACATTGTATTGATTGCAATGTTTATTGAAAATATAGTTAAAGAACTCCCAGATCTAATGGAAGGCTTTCTCATTGGAAAAGGAGAGATTAAGAAAATGCATAAGGGGATGAGTGAAGTTGTTCAGGCAACAGAAGGGTAATGGAACGGGGGTGATTCTTCCAATTTTGAGAAGCGGTCAGAACGCTAACTTTACCGACAAAGATAGAGCTAGCAATCTGATGGTCCCCTGAGCAGAAAGGCAAAATCATACTCCTGGATCCTGCCCCATGTCTGACAGTGAATTGTCATCTCAGTCCCTCCCTTCTCCCTTCTCGCAGATGAAGGTTTTAAACTCGATGGTCATAAAGGCTCATCTCCACGTTCGATTATCTTGTACCACAGAATGATTTCAAACATTATGCTATAGGAAAAGCCCTGGAGTGCTTACACAAAATAGTCTATTCAAAAAGTCCAGCCTAAATGAATGTTCTGCCAGTTTTCATTACAGATTTATAAGTTTCAAGTTTATTTATTCTACGATGGGAAGAACTTGCCAAGGCTATTGTTTGGAAACCAATATTTTATTGATAATAATGGCTAACATTTATAGAGCACTTCATGATTACAAAGCATTTGATATATTACCTCATTTGATCCTTATAACAACAATGAAGTAGATAGTGCAACCCTCATTTGACAGATCACCAGATAAGGAAACAAGACAGAATCAGAAGGCCCAGGATGTGACTGCCAACTTGGTCCCTTGGCAGGTCATGAACCCAGACAAGTCATTTATCCTTTTTCTTCCCTCCTACGATACGGCCACCACCCTGGGGCAGGCCCTCATAACCTCACCCTGGGCCTACTGCAACAGTCTGCTGGTGAATCTGCCTGCCTCAAGTCTCTCTTCACTCCAGTCTATCCTCTACTCAGCCACCAACATGATCACGTTAGCACAGGAATGATTGTGTTCTCTTTCCCCACTATTCAATAAACTCCAGTGGCTCCTCATTACTCCGAGATCAAACATAAAATCCTCTAGCTTTTAAAGCCTGTCATTACCTGTCTCCTTCCTGTCTTTCCATTCTTTTTAGGATAATAATAATGATAGCTAGCTTTTCTGTAGCACTTTAAAGTTCACAAGGTGCTTTGCAAATATCTCATTTCATCTCAATGACCATGGGAGGTAGGTGCTATTACCTCCTTTATTCTAAATGAAGACACTGAGGCGAATACAAAGTTAAGTGACTTGCCCAGGGTCACAAGGCCAGTAAGTCTCTGAGCCATATGTGAATCCCGACTCCAGTTCGAGTTCTTTCCACTAAGTCACATAGCTGTCCCTTCCACGTACTCTGTGATCCAAAAAATCTTTCAGCTATTGAAGCTTTAAATGGCACTAAGACTGTTGGGACGCCCTATATGCGTATGAATATATTTTTAATTTTGGGGTAGAGACTTTGTGATTAAATCAGTGGGAGGAATATCTTGCATGAAGACTGTCTCTACTAATCCAGATAAGTCATTCCTTTGTAACTTAGAGTTCTAGCCCTGAAGTGACTTGCCTAGGGTTACAAAGCTAATACATGACAAAAAAAGGACTTGGATGTAGGTCTTCCTGACTATGTAAGGCCATGATATTTCCCTATTCCAATGGTAATAACAGAACAGAATAAAGCCATCATTTACAAACGCACAGAAAGGGAAAAATCATAGGGCAAGGGACTTTACCTGAGAGGTACTTAACTGGTAGGGGTAAAATTAAAACTGAGTGCATTAAAAACACTGAAAGATGAGAGTCTTCAATAGAATGAATCACAGGAATTAGGAAAAGACAAACCCCCATTCTCTCCATATAAATAGTATATGCTGTTTGATGAAATAACACTACCTTTGTAGTCCTCAGGCTGCTGTTCGTAGTCCAAACAAAATGTCAGAAATTTCATCAGCATCCTCTTTTCAACCATAGTGAGTTGCTTGCTATTAAAAACATCTGCTCTAGAGCAAGGAACCTGCAAAACAGGATGATCCGTCAGTGGAGAAATAGCTCTGTTACCCTGTTACATTGATTGGCTGTTAATTATTTTAATATCAAAATTACCTTCCCAGTGGTCAAAGTGTTCAAACTAATGGTTTTTTTTTTCCTTGAAACAACTGGGTAAATAATTTCTATTCTGGTCAGGTTGTTTTTTGTTTCTACCCATCAATTCTAATGGCGTTTCTGTTGACTACAGAGCTAATTAAATGTGAGCTCCCTTGCTTAATTCTGCCAGGTTGCTCTCTGTGCCATTAAAAGGACAAGGCATTCCCCTCCTAAACAGGAGGGGAATGGCAGCTTATGTCATCTAATGCTGCCTGAGAAACTTAACACTTTCCCAACTCCTATGTGAAGCTGCTAAACAACTCATCAAAAATGAGTAACAGATGCAGAACAAGTTCTTAGACTTTTATCATCTCCTGGGCATTTCCTAGGCCATGAAATGTAAGACTGAAAATTCACCACCATGAACGGGAATTAGGAGGTCTGTAAGACAGAGTGTGGCTTGCTTTCACCTCAAACATACTCCATAAAGAGCAATTTGGATTTGTTCACAGTCATCGCCTGCCATCAGTACAGTACCTGTAATACATTCCTTCTCGATATCCAAGAATCCTGGTAACATTTTTGAACTCTGCATATCGACTAACGCTTGATTTGATTAGAAGGTCAATTAGCAATCCTCGAGAATAAAGCAGCTGTACAAACAGAGGAAAAAAAAAAACTTAAGAGTTGAAAAAGTCAAAATGATTAAATGTATTTGGAATGATGAAATGGACATCTGGTTTTGAAAATGATCAAATATGCATTTTAGGCTCTTCACAGAATGAAGCCGTAATAACAGACATTTGTTGTTGTTGTTGTAGAACTGTTGTAGTCGTGTTGGACTGTGAGCCCATTTGGAGTTTTCCTGGCAAAGATACTGGAGCAGTTTGCCATTTCCTTCTCCAGTCCATTTTACAGATGAGGAACTGAGGCAAACAGGATGAAGTGAGTTGCCCAGCGTCACACAGCTAGTAAGTGTCTGAGGCCGGATTTGAACTCAGGTACTCCTGACTCCGGGCCTGGCGCTCTCTCCACAGTGCCACCCTGCTGCCATTATAATAGACATAAGTAATAACAATAGGTTACATTTATATTGCCAATTAAGGTTTGCAAGGCACTTTACACACATTAGCTCATTTGATCACATCAACAATCCTGTGTTTGGTATCACAGGTTATTACTACTATTCTCATTTTACAAGGAGGAGACAGAGACTCAGAGAGCTTAAGAGATGTGTCCAGTGAAACATGGCTACTTGAGGATTTGAATACACATCTTCCTGACTCCATATCCAGCACTTTATATTTACTATGCCAGCTGTCTCACTACATTAAGTTCTACAATAGCCAAATGGTCAGAGTGATATTAAAAACTAAATTATGAGGCCTAGAGGACTAGGAAAAAAGAGAAAATACATAAGCAAAAGACTGCCATCAAAATAAGCGAAACACAAAATGAAAAATATTACATATGTAATATTCCATTATTTAAAATGAATTCAAAAAAGAATGTGATGTAAAAATTAATCACTTTTTAAAAATTTTATAAAATATACTCAATTAAGCCAGGATTTTTAAAATTCCAATTGGGAAAAAATCCTTGCATTCTACATCTCTGATAAAAATCTACTATCCAAGTTAAATAGTTAATCAACAAAAATATATAAGACCAAGAGACATAAGCAGTGTAAGGGCATGAAAAGGTGTTCACTCTTCTTTTAAAAACTATCTACAACCATATGAAAGATTGCTCCAAATCACTAATGAGATAAATGCCAATCAAAACAACCCTGAGGTTCCACTGCACACTCAGCCAATTGGCAAAGATGGCAAAAGATGTAAATAGTCAATATCAGAGGGGCTTTGGAAAGACAGTACACTAATATACTACTGATGAAGCAATGAATCAATACAACCATTCTGGGGAAAACATGGGGAATCATCTAAATAAAGCCACTCAATTTTTCACACTCTTTGCTCAAATGATCCCACTGCTAGACAGATACAACAATGAGGTAAAAGACAAAAAGAAAGGTCAAATATACACCAAAATATTCATGGTGGCATTTTTTTATAGTAGCAAAGATCTTGGAACAAAGTATATGCCCATCACCTAGACAATGGCTAAATAAATTTTGGCACGTAAATTTAACAGAATCATAATATTAAGAAAGGACATACATGAGGAATTTAGAGAAATATAGGAAGACTTATGTGAACTGACACAGAGAAAAGAAAGGAGAATCAGGAAAACAATATACACCATGATTACAATAATGTAAACAAAAAGAACAATAAAAGGAAGCTGAATGTCAAGGACCTAGGAGAAAATACAAGGAAGTGAAGATGAAGATGTGAAGATGAGAAAGCATGCCCTTACATTTGTGTTGGAGAGTTGGGAGAGCTATGGTGAGACACTGTTGCATATGTTCACAGATATAACTGCTGTGTCAGCTTACCTAGTTTTCTTTGTTGTAAGAAACAGAGATTGGGAGAAATGGGAGGGAGAGGCATTTATATTCATAAATTATGATGATGGAAAAATGAGATATATCAGTAAGACTTTAATTTAAATATTAAGCCATTCAAATATAACATCCCTTTGTAATCACAGCTGAGCAGCAATGGTAAAGTTACTTATAGAAGGCAAATATAGCTCAAGAATTGATGACGGTCATTGCTGACATACATGTAGAGATCTAACTTAGTCTCTCAAGAATATCTTTCATAAAGAATACCAGAGAAACAAGTATTCTATTTTTGATAAAATTTTAAAAAGTACAATAGGATCTGTGTGTTCAGTACACTGGGATACCTCTAAATGCCTATAATTCCATAAAGGTTAAGATAAACGTTATAGGAACAGAAAAACAAAGACAGAAATAAGATTAGCTTTACTAGTAAGAAAAAAAAAAGGAAGCTCAAAAATCAATCCTGACCATTATACTGAGCATCAGAAAGGTCACTTAGGACTTTCTGTAAATCAATATCAGTTAAGTGAATTTTTATAAACTATTATATCAATTCGGCATTGCAGAGAACAAACACAATCGACATAGCTTTTCTGGAAACAACTAAACTGATTACACAGACTAAACAGGGCATGTTGTCTCATTATGTCCTTCCGAAAAGAGATAATATGCCTTTAGATTTGTTCTTTTATAAAGAAGAAATATGTTTCTAACAATAATACAATATATCACCAAGATACTAAATGACAAAATTATTAAGAAAAAAACCTCTCTTACTACTTCTATTATCTCACTTGCCTATAAAAACAAAAGACTTGAGTCTTTTGAGGTATTATTCCATACCACACAATTTCACTGACTAGGCATCTTGTGGCAAGATGTAGCTACATTTACTATATACGCTAATAAAATTTAACAGATTTTAACTGCAAACCCATGCATTTCTTAAAATAAAAAAAAAACTATAGAAAAGATAAATTTACTACACATGCACAAAAAAAACCCAGTTCTGACATATTCAACTTAAACCTACCTCTCATTTTTATTGTCCTTGCAAGCGTTACAGTAACATGTTCACAACATATGACAACTTAATAACAGGAATCTTTTTATTAAAATAATAAAAAATTGACTTTAGAACCTGAAAAATTCCTTGACTTGATAAAGCTGGTTCCAGAATTTAAAGTATAAATTCTTCTAAAATATTAACATAGTCATGCCCCCCTCCTCATCTTATTTTTTAGCACAATATCCAAGGTAAGCATTTTGGCAATAATATTTTATTTAATGTGCAATTCAATTTTTTAAAATCCAGGTCCCTTATCTGACCATTTATAGTTTTCTATTATAACATTCTTCTACTGAATACTCAAAATTCAATGATACCTAAAAGATATTTCCAAATATTTTTCTTTCTCCTTGAAAAAAAAATCCACAAGAAAATAAGGCTAAAAATCTGCCCCATAAACAATTTTCAATTTTCTTTCCAGAATGTGATATGCTGAAAAGTACAGCTAGAATGACAGACTGTTAAGATCTGGAAGGGAGCTAAAGAGGTCCAAAGAAATGAAATCTCTAACTAGTTCAGTAGAAAAGCATGGACCAGAACCCAGGAGCAGTTTCATATTTAATCTTGCTTCTAACCCTTCTCATTAGACTACTATTAATTTATCATTTTGATGAGACATAAAAATTATAAAATAAATCCAAATATTGCTACAATTTACAGAAGCGATAGAGAATTACACTTTGTTTACATAAAGCCAAATAGATAGTACACACTGTATTTGCCAACAACTAGGGATGTATAAAAGGGAATTTTTTGAGAATTTTAAAGCCATAGTACTTAGAAAGTCACATATTATTATGCCCATATTTACACATTCTGCTATTTGAATGCAATCATCTATTAATAAAATTTGGCATCTTTTTCAAATGTATTCATGATATAAATTAACATCCATATATTAAGAGCTTACTATGTGTCAAGAACTGTGCTAAGTGCAGGACATACAAAGACAAAAGTGAAACTCTCCTTGCCTTCTAAGGGCTTACATTCTAATGGAGAAGAAAACATGTATGTGTGTGTATAAAACCATTAAATACATTAAAAAGTTGATACAAAGTAACTGTAGAGAGTGGGCAGGCATTAACAATGGAGCAAAGGCCTCCAGCATAAGGTGGTGCCTGATCCGAGTCTTGAAGGAAACCAGAGATTTCAAGAGGTAGAAGTGAGGAAGGAAAGTACCTCAGGCAAGAAGGAAATCAAATACAAAGGCAGAGAGACAGGAAATGTAATTATTTTATAGATAGTATAGATAGAAAAAATTTTATAGATAATATAGATAATTTTACAGATAACATAGATAGAAAAATAATAACAAAATTCACCCTGGAAGATCAAAAGGTCAAGAATATCAAGGGAATCAATAAAATCAATATGAAGGAAGATAGCTTAGCAGTATCAGATTTCAAGCTATACTACAAAGCAATGAACATGAAAATAATCTGGTACTGGCTAAGAAATAGAGGGGTGGATCAGTGGAATAAATTAGGTACATAATAAACCCTTAAAGATTCGAGCTTCTGGTGCAAGAATTTGAAAAAATTTGTCACCATCTGACAAAAATAGCTGAGAAAACTAGAGAGCAGTTTGGCAGAAAATAGACATAGACCAATTTCTCACACCATATACCAAGATAAGGTCAAAATAGGTACATGATTTAGACATGAAGGGTGCTATCATAGGCAAATTAGAGAGCATGGAAAATTTTACCTGTCAAATTTATGGATAAGGGAAGACTTTATGACCAAACAAGACATAGAGAAGATCATGGGAAGTAAAATGAATAATTTTGATATTATGAAAATAAAAAGGGTTTGCACAAACAAAAACAATGTAGCCAAAATTAGAAGGAAAGCAGGAAACTAGGGGAAAAATAAAGCAAGTTTCTCTGATAAAAACCTCATTTCTCAAATATAAAGGGAACTGAGCCAAATCTATAAAAATAAGAGCCATTCCCCAACTGACATATGGTCAAAGGATATGAACGGGAAGTTTTCAGAAGAAGAAATCAAAGCTATCAATAGTCACATTTAAAAATGCTCTAATAATTCTGAGGTACCACCTCACTACCTATTAGACTGGCTAACATGACAGAAGAGGAAAATGACATGGTGGAG